CGCAACTTACGACTTTTCCCTGGAGCTGTTATCCAAGAATTCCAGGTCTAAATTGGGAAGGGGAACTCGACTACATCTACTCTTCCTTCCACAATTACCGACAAATTTGTTGCACCCACAGAAACACCAAATTCCAATCACACACAAATGTATCCATCTCTCCAAGGTACACCAATCACCCGATGGAAACACACACAAGACCAAGATAGAACGGAACACACAAGTAAGTGTAAACACACCTGAACGAATCCACTACGACAATCAAGTGAGGTCTCAACCAGAGTCATCACAAGTGTAAAATACATTCAGTCAATCAAACAACAGGTTACTCTTTATTCCGATTTCCAACGGTCTCGTGAACATTATGTAATTTGTTCTTCGTGAAGTGAAGTTCGTGAGACACTCCAACTGGACAATTCTTGTGACTATCATCCCAACACTATCGTTCATCCTACCTTGAAAACAATGGCTCAAAACTCTCGCAAAAACAAAATCTACGGAATTCGTAAAAGTAACCCCTAAGGACCGGCACCTATTGATACAGCGAACCTGGGCTTCCAGGTAGAACTGAGAATCGTACAAATCTCATTATTATTACTAGACTGCGGATTTTATGCATTTATAGCCTATAGGGATCTGTGAAATACAATAAAAAACAAAACTTTCATCGCATCCAACGAGTTTTCTACTTTATTCGGAACCCAATGAGATACTTAAGAGGGAAAATAAATCTCTACGATTGCTACTGTCTTTATAAATTACTTTAGAAACATTTATTTTGCATAAAAATCCGCAGTCATTTCATCATCGCAGTCAGTCATCGCACAGATTTTTTACAGTGAAAGTAAAGGAAACTGAATTTCAGTTAAGATATTCCTTGACACTTTGTGTTTTCTGAGACCTTGTCTCAACTTTCCGAGAAGAGGATTGTATCATAATGTAAAAATTCTATGGTTAGCTCTATAGTCAGTTCTAGAATGTACTGTTTTATACAAATAAAATATACCCAGGCAAGATGTAGAAAAATAGGAGTCCAACGGCTGCTGAACTCTGGACACTATACATTAAATATAGTCTACCTTGTTACGGAATGGGCACATCATTAAGTAAATAGAACTGGAATAGATGACAGAAGAAATTTTCCCTCGACAATTTTTAATTCTCTTCTCTGTCCTACTGACTCCTTATTTTATCATCGTTTATGTTTGACAAAACCACGCTAGAGCGCGCTCTGTCTATAAACATGTTTCATCCTCCTGGCTGACAGAGTATGTAATCTTTATAATTTGTAAAAATAACCGGCAATGGTCAGCCGTGTTGGCATATTCACAGTCTAACTCACAGACAAAAAGGTATTTCATTTTCAGACATTCTTGTACTGTGTAAAACACATAAGTGACTGAATACGGACGGAAGACGACGCGAAACAGAGTACCATATTTCTTATGTCACGCATTGGATGGCACAACCATGTTCATGTTATCGTTCGCTGTCATGGGCGTAGCCAGGGGTACAAAAATATTAACACACCGACTGCCCCACAGCGAAAAAGGCTGTACGTAGCAAGACACATTTTATTTTCTTTTTAAAATCATAAATCGTTGAAAATGTATGCGTTTTGTTAATAGAGACTGTTGGTCGTGTATCACATTATACTGCAATATTAAATATTACGCAAAAATTTTGTAACTCTGGGAAAGGAGGCGGGCAAAATCCAATTTTTTTTTCTTGTAGCCATGCTTATGTTCGCAGTTGTACGCTCTTAGGCTCTTTTAATATTTCATTCAGAGTGGATTGGCAGTCAATGAAATTTGACATACGCCTAGCTCTGACTATGAATACGTTGGCAGAATCGAGAACAGTGTTTATAGACGAAGCGTACTGTAATCCTCTAGAACCGATCTTCTGTACTCTGCAAAACTGTACGGTGACAGTTTTAAACAAAAAAAAAATAAATGCATTTTGTTCGTGTTAATTTTCCTATTTAAACATTCAGTTCAATCTTTCTCTCAACTATTACGGTAAAAGTATGAATGTTTTTTAGTTACACTATTTTTAATATAATACTAGAAATCACGTCTTAAAATCATAATCTCTTCGAAAGTCATGGTAATTTATACAATAATTGTATCGATATATCCGACATTTGGTTATTTGTCAGTGACATAAACAGAAATGCTTTGAATACTATTAGGTCGGAGGGGTTAATATATGTATAATCGAACAGTTCCGTGAAATATTCATGAGTATTACTCAACGTTTGAAAACGTCGATCAATGTAAATTATTTTTATATTTGCAAGCCCAAAAAGGGGCGTTGAAATATTTATTATACTACCTATATTAAAATAATACACCGCGCTTACTAATATTCTTGTTAAAATTTAAGTATACCATAATTATTAAATCTGGCAGCACCATGAATAATCAAATAGTTCATTTACGATCTCTTTATAATCGACAAAGGTATTTTCAATTTTGGTTTTCATGAGAAATCGGCTTATTTCAATTTATATTTCCTACCCTGTAGATGTAATCACTAAAAATTAAAAATATATGTAATATTTATGCCATTAAATGTATCATTATATGAATGCAGCAAAGAAAATGCAATAAAATATGGTATGTTTGAAAATTGAAACATTTTTATGTTTAAGATGAAATTTCATATAAATGGAAAAATAAAATTAAAGGTAAAATAAATATTTTAAATATTTTAATATTTCTGAAAAGTGGATTGTATCTATATTATAGTATATATTAACAGCATATTCCATATATTAAAACTTTATTCAGTAGATTCTTCTTGTACAGAAGAATATAAGTCTTACAAACACGCTGTATCTAAGAGCTTTTTAACCAACTCTGTATAAAACATAAGTATGTAGCAGCATATGTATGGATAGTTCTGACCATGGTGAATTGAATGGCATTGTTTTTAAATTAAAAATTTCAACTTGCTGAACTATAATTTATACGTTTTTAATGATTAATCCTAATGATGTATACAGGACCATGCTATCCTGATCTTTAACAATTAAATTTATCTGAAAATTACAGACTATCTTCAGACATTCTATTTGTTTTTTTATGCTTATTAAATCTGGTTAAATTGAGGTTAAGAAGGTTTGATTAAAAGTTTTGAATATATATTGCAAGTAATCTGAAACAGTGTAGTATTTTAAAAGAAAATAAATGAAGGAAAATAAATTGTCAGACATAATTTGACCCATGTCTTTGTATAATGAAAATGAATGATTTCTAGGAAGATACATTCAAAAAATTACTATAAACTAAAAATGAATCCACAATCCTTCTTAAAATGAATTTATAAGAATACATTTTAAGTGTTACTTATATCAGATTTATCTTGCATTTTCTTTTAAAATGAAATTATCTTATTATTTGCGATATATGTATATTCATTCTTTAATGAAAACATTTGATGTAATTTCGAGAGCATTTCATTTTCCAAACATACCAAGCTTATTTGATAGACATACGACTTATATACTTTTGAATAATGGTAACAAACATATGAGTAAGATTTACCATAGAATAACCAAGAGTTTGTTATATAATATAGTTTTCTTCGAAAAAAGATAGAGATTCATCTTCTATACTTCTAGAGGAAATATACTATACTTTTATACTTGTATGTACAAAATACGTTTGTTACGGGCAGATCATTCCTAGTTACCATATAATTGTTTGAATACATCTAATGAAACTGAAACATAATACTTTTTCTCTATGAATACGTTTCAAACTAGTATAAATTTACTAAGATATGATTCAACATGTTTGGTATTTTTATATGACAAGAAGTAATTCTTTGCTTCAAATTATAAAATTTTCTCGTTTACATTATTCTTCATACCATGTAATCCTATTTCTTACTATGAACTTGTTGCTTCATAAATATATATTATATTAATATCGATTATAATTACCATTAAATAATTATCAGCACTGACACGACTAGTAAATGACTGATCTGACTCTCTTAATATAGACACTAGATACACTAAGTGCGATACTAATATTGCTGCTTGAATAACTACTGAGTTATTTTAATTGTTCATAATTATTGAATCTCAAAGTCATTAAGTTTTTATATTAAGTGGTATTCTGCCTCTATACTTGCTAATAGTGATAATTTTGAATAATTATGATGATGATCATGACAATGATGTCAACAAAAAACAGTATACTTACTAATAGCAAGAATAGTAACTATTCTAATAATCATAATAATGATAACGAAAACAGTAATAATAACGGTACTATAATTAATACCTTATAGTAATAAAAATAATGATAATCATATTAATAATAACAGACAATTGGGACTATCATTAAAATAGATACTGTTTGATTGTGGAGAACATTCCTTTCACGTTAATGTTTATAACTCTTGAATAAGAACAGAGTGTTCAACATACTCTTTGACCTACATATACTCTGTGGTTATTATCATTTGAATAGAAATGTTTCCTTATTATGTACAAATAATAGATTTTTATTTATCATAAAAATTCATTAATAAATAAGTTCTCTATATAAAAATTTCCATAGTTTTCTTAAAAGTATACAAATATTTTAATTTATAGGGTTAAGTAGTACACCCTGTGTATATAATTGCACAATCTTTTAAATATATAGCAATTGAGATTCGGTTAATGATATACATATTTTGTGCACATTGTTCTAAATTTGTTGTGTATTATTCAAATAATGATTCTATAGACTGAACATAGAAACATTTTTTATAAAAGCTATGTGCGTTTAAATTAAGGAAATTCTCCACAAAAAAACATTCATAGAAAACGCAAGTATATATTTGTTTCATTTCTCTCTCTCTTTTTTGCACACATTCTGGTTTTCTGTGTCATATGTGCTGAAAGAACATTAAGGGAGATCAAAAAGCAGAAGTAGGGGTAAAAGAGAATACTCATGGAGAACGATCTTGCAACTAAGGTCAGCGAGCAAACAACCCACCAGAATGATCAGCAGTCGTGTATTCCGTGAGTAGAGGCGATGCTGCCAGGGCTGCGTAATTGGCGTAATCGGCATACGGAGTATAGATTAATCCATGAGGTTCGCCAGCTGAAAGAAGCGATCCTGGTGGACCTGTGCCGTTTAGAAGAGATGCTGCGGTTGTTGGTACAGATATCCTTGGCGAGAGTATTAACGGTGCACCTAATGGGGCACTGGGTGTCCTCATAGGTGTGGCCAAACCAGGAAGAAGCCGCTGTGTTTCTGCTGCAGCTGCTGCGACACGTCTCCATTCTTCGTCACAAGCTGAAACAGCCAATGGACCTAATATTAAATATCTTAGTCATTGTTACAGTATAAAAAAACAATAAAAATAGTAAACAATGGGTACAGTAATGTGTATAATTGTCGGGCCAAAGCAATTTTTGCTAAGGTCTCTCAACAGGAAAGTGGGCTATGAAAGATAATTATTTTTTGCAGCTCTGAGAACATACTGTGATTTGACAATGAGTATATAACAGTAACTTTTCTCGATTCCGCATACCTGAAGGAAATATCAAACTATCTACCATAAAACTATTCGATGGTGAATAAATATATGTCGGTTAAGGTTGTCTAGCTGTTACATTCTACATATACAAGATGTCCCAAAAAGATGGGACAATCTGCACATGCATTTCCTCGTGCAAAAAGTACTTTGCCGTTTTATAATCTGAAGCTCCATTTCCGGGATATTTGCAGTTAAACGAACTTACACGTACGACCAGAAACAGTCATGAAGCGCACGACCCAAGTCACTGGCCTCTGTGGTCTGGACCAGCGGTCGGCAACCTTTTAGATATTGCGGACCACTAAATTCGCAATGTAAAATTTCGCGAACCACTAACATAATTTTTAAGGTACAAATTAATACGAGCATTGAGTGTGATATACATATATATTTATTTATATGTTAAAAATTAGTGCGACATTTGTTCGACAATTTCTTTGCGGACCATTAAAATTACGTCACGGACCACCGAATGTCGACCGCTGGCCTGGACCACTGTTCAGCTGAAGATTGGGGTTCGTTTAACTGCTAATATCTAGGAAATGGAGCTTCAGATTACAAAACGGTAAATGACTTTTCGATTTGTATTACCATGAGAAATATGCATATTGCGGATTGTTCCATCTTTTTGGGACATCTTGAATAGTTCAAAATGATAACTTGAGCCAGCCAAAACGTAAAGAAGCAGCTGCGAATTCGTGTAAAAGAGGAAGACTCTTAACACTCTCGTTCCTTTCGTCGCATAAATTATAAACAATACGAATTTTAGACCTGTAACGTAGTAGAATGACACAGCAAAGAGTTAAGTGTTTTATACAGAAATCAGAATGTAGTTATTAATGGTTTTTGGTTTTGTTAATGGTACACAGGGTGTAACCAAAGTATTGCAGGTTCCTGAAATGGGTCACTCGTGAGGTAATTTGGAACAAGTTTTTCCTTAGCACAAATGTTATCCGAGGCTTTGTTAACGACATATTAACGAAAACCCACGATCAATCAGAGCTCGGCCGGCAGACTCGCTGTATAAAGATATTGTCCGCAGAATAGAGATATTGACCTATTGAGTGAACATTCGAGCGAGAAGTAATTAACGCACGCACTCGTTTAAAAGCATCGTGCAGCACCTCGCGACGCAGGACAATATCATCATAAACCGCGACAGCCGCAGTCAGTTCTCGAAATTGGGCGTTTTGTTAGGTCGAACAGGACGGAACAATCTGGCAAGGTTCCTCGATTTGCCTGAAAGGACAATACCATTTTTTTCCTAGTTTTAGAATATACGTATCGTAATCTAGGATCAACCCCGTAAAGTCGCGTCCTCGTCGAGGCGGCATTTGCCAGACGGTACGGATTCTGAGTCGACTTTTACTCCTGAACAGTTCAGTCGATTCGCTTGTTGAACATTTGTGACACGTCCGCATTTCATTGTATATGTTTGAAAAATATTTTTATGTGTTCTTTGAGAAAATATGTTTTAAGTGTACCTGTAACTGCGCCAACCTTTGTATTGGAATCCCGGTAGGTACCATTTATAATAGCGAGCTCCATTAACTGTCGCTTCTTTAGTTCATCCTCCCCATCAGCCTGCTAACAATCAACATGATCGGTAAGATATATTAATGCTATGTGTGTAAATCATACAAATTTCAAATATCAATAACATTGTACCTGCATATATACTTTATCACTTAAACCTTAAGATGAAATGTATTTTCATTTTTCATGTTTACACAAACAGGGTGCGCCAGGTATGAAATATTTTATAGCAGCCCCTGTCCAAGAAAAAGCTGACATAGGCACCACGAATACCACGACGTCAATGTTCTATTCTCCGTTCCACGAAACGTGAGACAAATATCGCTATCCCAAAGGCCACGAATGTTGGCTCCTCAAGGCTGTTGCAGGGTATAGCTGCTTCAAAGATATAGCGTTAGTCATAAACCTGACAGACTCTAAATTTTATGTGTATCGGTAACCTAATCCTGTCATTCGATACCCTTGAGTTGTAAAAACTGTACTCGACCGTCGTTCAGGGGCGTACGAGGTCAATTTGGGATCGGTTTTTCCGTTTTAATGTAATTAAATAAGTTCTTAAAGTGTAGTAATTTCAATTTAAAATACTACTAACCCTTTTATTCTTGATGAATGCTTACGAAAACGTAAATTTCTTTCAAATATCCCAGTCTTTTTCGTTTTATTCCTTGGACCCTCATATCTGAAAGTGGCGTACAACCCTGAGTGCGGTGGGGCACAATGGGCCCCCTACGATCGAGTACTAATGGTTTAAGGGTCGGCCATAGACATATATAATAGACCGCGCGGTCTTATGGTAGGGATGAAGCGAGACCGAAGGACAGAAGTAGCGATGGAGTCATTCCTCTCTCGCTCGCACATTGCAGAGGAAGGGGAGTAAGCGACTGGAGGGCGATGAGGAAAGGAATGCTGCACATATGTAATGCCTCCACACAACCGTAGGAGAATCCTCCACCAACAGCCTCATTAGAAAGAGAAGTCTGTGACTCCATGTATTATCCTCTCACTCTACTGCCAACCTCATCCCTACCATAAGACCGCGCAGTCTATTATATGTATATGTCTATGGGGTCGGCCATGTTTATGGCTAACGCTATACCTTTGAAGCAGCTATACCTTCCACTAAGTACGCCGTTCGACAAAGCAACGCTCTTTTGCCTCAATCATCTCATGGTTTCTCAAGCCACGCCCTTTTGTGCCGTGGCTAGTGATGGGTGATTGAGCCGAGCGGCTCACGCCGACTCGAGGCCAACGATTCTCCGGCTTGGCTTGGCCGACTTGAACGAGCTGGAATGACAGGTTTATGACGTGTCAGCGGAGACGAGGCTCTGTCCAGCCAAACCTCGGTGAGTAGAGATGTTATCTGATACTCTATAAGCCGCGTCGATCGACGCTCGTGTTACAATGTAACACACAGAACGAATAACCCATGAATAAAAATTTTAACTTTTACTCCTTTCAGTGTACTTTTTTAAAAATGTTATGAATAAATTTAGGAGATTCTCCCGATGAAAATAAGTCCAAACCCGACATAAATCAAACTATATTTTGATAACATATAATTCATATCGCGACATAACGTACGAATAAAAATTGTTTTCGCTGCATTTCCCTATTCAGAAACACGCAAAAATCGTGAAAAAAGTCTCGCACATTGCAAATACCGGGTCACCCATTACAGAATTTTCTCCAATTTTTGGGTTGAAAATTGTAGTTGGAAAAAATTAAGAACCATAAACAATGTTCACAAATGCAGATTTCTTAATAAAAGTTTAGTGACTAGATTTATGTTTTTACAATAATAACATATATATTCAGAAGTATTGTCTCTATATAACACTATTAATTTTTTCTTTATTAGTTTGATGTCACATATTTAATTTCTTGAATGAATGGTAGTGCAAAAAAGATATAAAGATGTTATAATAAATTTACAGATTATAAATGAATACACTTTTGCATGTATTCCATATATATACACACATGAATGCATTTGCACATTAATACATTGATCATTAAAACGTACATAAATATAATACATTTTAATATCTAATATGCAAAGATAAGAAATTGAGTATGACCTAATATGGCATACAAACAAGTGTATATACAGTAAAATGCATAAAATGATATAATGCTATTTAACATTAAGAAAGAAACTTAATGCAATGACTTTAATTAAAATATAACATAGTAAATGCAGCATGATCAATTCCATACACATTTGACAGGAATGAATTCGAAATCAATAAGCTGCTTATTGATCTACTAGCTTCTTTTCTCGCGGTTTCGCTCGCGTAGATTTCGGGATTTAATAAGATTATTTTTTCAACAAAATTTTTAAATTCAATTATAATTAAAGATATAAGTAGGTCTTCTCCTTTTGTACATACATATATACAGATTAAACATTATTTACGTCCTGAGATTCATGGTATAATATTCCAACTAGGTGACTGACCGTACTTTAATGGTATCGAGTGCTCTTCTAATGACGATAAAAAATTCAAAACATTATTAACCCCTTGCACTACGCCGAATTTCACAATCAGCCGTGCCAGACTCGGGCGCCCGAGTGGTCCCGAAAAGAGTCGAAGCGGCGAAGCCTGAGTGTCGGAACTTTGAACACGATATCTTACGACTGACAATGAGTGCGAGGTAGGCGTGCTCGTGTTGACTTCACGCGATGGTGCTCTTGTAAAATTCAAACGAATTGAAATCAAAAACTTTAAAAAGGTATTTTAATTGATACATATGATTACAACTAATTCTATATAAATAATAATAATATGATGAATTAATAGCAGAACACAAATAAGTTGAAGCCAATCTGCGGCAGTAATATTTGAATTGAAATAAATTTGCAGATTGTCATAATCACCAGACCTGAAACTGGAAAAGACAATATAAATAAACAATTAAATATCAACAAACTGTTTTATTGAAAAACACTCACAAGTTTAAAATTAATAATCCTGCATGGTATGGTACTTTATAAAACAATCCGGTACATGCAAAGCTACCTTACATTTTGAACATTCCCAAGTTGTTTCGCTTCGTTTTTTGTTTTTGTAACAAACCTTACACATTCTAGTTGGGTGTTGCTTTCTAGGCGTTCCATCAATGTGTTTCGCGAAATGAGCCCAATATTGTGCTTGTAATCGTAATGGCGTTGCAGTTTCTGCAGATTTCACGCGTCTTGTGTAGTCAGGTAGCTGTACGTATTTTAAAATTGCCTCAGCTATATCTATTCTATAATTGACGTATGATTGTCTTCCTGGATTTTGTAATTGTTTTTTCATAACATACGTATTAAACAGAGCCATGTCAGACATGTAAAAAAATAGTTTTTTGTAACCCTTGAGGTATTTCCTCATAATAGGAAAACATGCTAGCATTTGGTCATTGAGGTCAATTCCACCCATTCCTTTGTTGTAGTCAATCACGCAGTTGGGCTTCAATTTCGTTCTACCTTGATTGTCTCTCACTTCCGTCAATTCCACAGATGCATGTTTGGTTGTTAACATATAGACATCGCGTTTATCCTTCCATCTTAAAGCTAACAATCCATTGCACGTTTTCTGTACATGTTCTCCGAGTTTTAACTTGTTGATTGGAAGATCCTTTGGCATATTTTTCCTGTTTTTTCGTACGGTGCCGATAACATTCGTCTTTTCTTTGTGCAATCTTAGAAAGAGAGCGGGTGAGGAATACCAATTGTCAATGCACAATGTGTATCCTTTATTTAGTACCGATTCTGCCAATTCCATTACAACATTTTCTGATGCACTACCAGTTATGTCAGTTTTATCCTGCCCAGTATATATTTTAAACTTGCTGCAGAATCCAGTTTTTGCTTCGCATAATTTATATATTTTTAATCCAAACCTAGCTCGTTTGGATGGGTTAAATTGTTTATATATTAAGCGGCCTATATATCGCATTAATGATTCGTCAATGCTAATGTTTTCATCTAGTGTGTAAATCTTATTAAATTTTTCGTTCCAGTAATTAATGATTGTTCTTATCTTATCAAGACGGTCGCTGTTGCAATGCGTTACATTATTCGAGAAATGCAAACATCGTGATATCTGCGTAAATCTTTTGAGCGGCATTACTTTCCCAAATATAGGTGTTTCTACCACTTCTCGTGTCGACCAATACATTTGTATATTCGGTTTTTTGACTTGAGTCATCAAAATACAGAGCGCATAATAAGCTAACATTTCATTATGGGTAACTGGAAACCAACCATCATCCAGTTTTCTTCTTCTCTCATCGTTCATAATTTGTTCCGCGTAAAGATTTGTTTGGGTAACTAATATGTCCCAGAAATTTTCGTCGAACACAACAAAAAATAAATCTAATAATCCGTGATTTGCGCCTAACTGATTTAAAACATAGTCTTTTATACCACGAGACTCGGAATAATTCCAAATTATTGGTCTATTATTAGTTTCCTTCCAATCCCATTCAACATTCACTTCATGTCTGGTATTTTCTTCTTCACTGCTGTCATATATAATTGACCTTCTTGCGCGATTCATCACTGGCATAATGACACTGCTGTCACTAGCATTTTCATCACTGCTTATAACTCTGTCAATATCTATCGATTGGCTGCTTGAAACATTGGTAGCCTTTTCACCACTGTTACTTCCGTGCGAAGTACTTGCTTTTTTAGTAACTTTTGTAACTTTGCTTCTTTTTTTATACATGCTGGAGGGTTTGACAAAATTAAAAATAATCAAGAATATTACTTTTTGTGAAGAAGACTACGAAACGTGTGCACCTCGTGTAACGGAATAGTAAGAACTGAAGAACGACTGAAACTTTCTTGGTCTCGCCGAATGTATATGTTTCCTTACTTTCAAACGTTATCTGGACTACGACAATGTATCCCAAGTAGCACGTAAACTGCATTGGGACACAAGATATAAAATACCCATTCATATAAAGAAAAGGAAAGAAGAGATAAGACCTCATTCAGGCGTTCCTGGTGGCCCGAGATTAAGACCACGAGCACGGCTCGTGATATTCATGTTTGGCCCGAA